TATTTGTTGATTTTGCCATTTTACCTTCAAATTTTTAGATCTGCTATTTTTAAAGATCTAAAAATACAATTTTTCACATTATGCTTAAGTTTATTTGGTTTCTTTTTTTAGAGTTTAATGTTTGTTATTAAGAATGTATATTATAAAAAAAATCATTAATGTATTAATTTTGAAGTGCGAAAAAATGCAAATCCTTAAAATTTGAGTGCAAATGGTAAAATCCGTAATAATCCCAATAATTAAAATATATAACTTATGAAACAGTCCTTCATAAAAACTATGGAATGGCGAGTTTGTTTTAGTTATTCATTAGTCTTATGAAATAGTAACACTTTGTGATTGCAAAATTTGTGGTTAGTAAAACTCAGTATTCTATGGTGCACCCAAAAAAAAAAATTATGTTTTAGAAAACACATCTTAGCATTTGGTTCTCTCAGGTAAAAAGTTGAAAAAGTACCAAACCTTTCGCCAGGGCTGATCCAACCGATTTTGCTGCCTAAAACATCGTTAAGTCCATTTAATAAAAAAATCAATTACAAAATAACAGAACCGAGGTTCAAACCATGCACCAGAATGATATGTACCTTGAAATTAACAACGATACTACGAATTTTTTTCAAAATTGATGCATTTTACTACTATATATACTTTTTGATGCCTAAAACAATGGCTTCACCCGCTTTAGTGTCAGGCCTGCCTTTCGCTGTTGTGGTATTTGGAAAAGTTTAGTCTGATGAGCCCATAAAGTACATATTATGCGCGGTTTGATATATCCTAACTCATATACACTTAAAGAGTAACTCAGCTATTAGACTTGTTCATCTACAACTTTCATAAGTGTTATTTATGAGAAAAAAGGTTAATTAGCTCTTTCAACTGACTTGAATATGTGTTTACATATTTATATCTACGTATGTCCTGACCAATATGATGTCGTATTCAGAACAAAATTATTTATGAAGATAGAGACCGGAAGGGTGATCAGTTTAGCTCTATAATGGAGGTTGCATCAATTCGTGAAAAGTTTTCTTGGCATCTGCTAAGCCTTTTTGCAATTGTACTTTTGTACACTAATGGGATAACCTTGTTTATTGAGTAAACATTCCTATATCCAACATTCTACAATAGGTTGATGGCAATGAGAAGGTGTGTGTGGTGGAAATTCAAAAGAAAATTAGGTTTGCTGTGATAGCTTATAAAAAAAAAATTGGAGGTCAAGGACTGCGCTCCTTAGAGAGCTACCTTTTTATAAAGAGTTGGATGATCGCTGACGCGTCAAAGTTTCATGTTTTGTGTTATTTTGGTATCATGTTTTTCTTGAGGTGCATTGTTTCTCTTGATGTGCATTAGCAGAGTAAAAAATATTAAGGTGCTTGAAGTAAAACACAGCGAGCGTGCTCCTAAGGTCGATTCGTCTTTGACAGTTGTTGGTAAAGTATCTTTGACTTTCTTTTTTTATGTTCATCAGCCAAATAAAATATGTAGTTCTTGACTTTTTGTGTTGATATTTGGTTGTTTAATTTGTTGATATCATGCACTATAGACACAGTCGTCCATGAGCCCAAACGAGACAAGCTTGGGCTTGCGGCCTTCAAGTAATTATATATTTTTCTGTTTTTACTTTTAAATGATCATCTCGTAAAGGGTTCGATCCACTTGGAGATATTACAATTCAATAGTCATTGTTTGTTAGTCAATCTAACAAGTATATTGAGTCCAAAATCTTTCTATTTGATAGTTTAAAATAAGATAAAATAAATTCAACCCAAAATTTTCTCTTATTTGGTTATGACTTATGATTACTTTGTCAAAATATATATAATTTTTTTTGTAGTGCATGACAGATCGTGTCCATGTCCGCATTTGTCAAAAGTTTGGTTATATACGTAGTTGAGCTGAGTTTTGTTAGTATATAGAAAAAACATCTTAGCATTTGGTTGAAAGAACCAATTAACAAAATCACCTCCAACCCCAAATCAAATCAACGTTACAATATCTATCTCCTCTTTTTTTTTTACAGTAACAATATCTCTTTTCTTTACAGAGGATTTTGCTAGTTCATGTGAAATCAAAGGTTAAGCCCAAAAAAGACCCAAATCATGCCTTAGTGGTCTTACATTAAAGAATGCCTACTTAGTACATAAGAAAAAACACATTTACACTATATTTACATAATACATACAAACAAAACGTATACATATATATTTCATATTGAAAAATGAAAACATAAGATGTGTCCCTTTTGATTTGTCCCTCTAGGTGGTCCTCTCTGCTCTTTTTATCGATCATCTTATTAAATTTCATTACCTTTGAATCATGTTTTTTTTCCTTTAATAGTACAAGCAGAGGCTATATTTATTTACAAACAAGAAAGCAAATGAAAAGAATAGATTTTGTGTTTACATATGCAATTTACAACTAATATTGTGAAATTAATTATTTTCTAAGTTTGAAGGGTAAATAGGTTTCCATATTTTTCAAATATATAATTTATCATACAATACAAAAGATTATTCATTCTAAACTACTATTACCAAAATAAAAAGATTTTAACGATTTTTTAATCGAAGCTTTTCGACCGGTCGTTTTCTTTTTTCTTCTCATCTCCTCCCCTCCGGTCCCTTGCCACCTAGGTAAAAGTACACCTTCCCTTGACTCGTGAGGTGTCTAGGTCATCTTACATGAAAAATTTCTTGAATCTAGCTAGCCTTTCTCTTCTTCTAGTTCTGAGCTTCGATTGGTCGTCTCTTCCACCTCTTGAGATAGATATCCCTCCATTGTCCTAGTTTGAGTGTTTGTGTCGCATATCTTATTGTCCAGTGCAAATCAATCGTATCTCATTCTCGATCTTCTCTCAAATTTTGTGTGTGAATCATGTCTTTAGCCTCTACATGTTTCACCTATTTGATTTTTTTTTTAACTATTTCAAAATCTTAGTGTAGCTTAGAAGACTATCTTTTTACTTTGACCTCACAACACTCATCTTAAAAAATATCTCTAGAAAGACTAATGGAATTGTTGCTATTCTCTTCCTCTTTATTAATTACTGAGCTTTCTCCCTTGGGAACAAGCTCCTCTCCATCTTAATATTGAAGGAGTCCAAGTTCATCTATATATGATTATGAGTCGTCACTATTCTAAATCTAAGAAGGAAAGGGAATGGCAAACTCTAGTAGCTAGATGGGTAAAAGAAACTCCCATTCAGATACCAAATGCATACAACTTTTTATTGATCAACTCAGGTGATTCTAAAAGCTTTCTAGGCCCAAAGACTAATCATGGGCACCGAAGAAACCATATTTATAGGTGTTAACCGTATGAATCTGATTGGGAGAATCACCAATGTTGAAATCAGAATACTCAAAGCATTAGTGGTCTTCATGCCATCTCTATGGCAAATGGAAGGGAGAGTAACTAGAAAAGACCTTTGTCGATAAAGATTCTAATTATGTTGCTTAAACTAAAACTTTAGATAAATTATAAAATTATATTAGTTAATAATAAGGTGTGTCACATAGAAATAATTGTTCACCTAATGATGGGTAAAAGTGGTTATGTATATCAACTTTGAAAATGAAGTGCGAGCACTGGTTTTGTATTGTCTATGCTAGTCCCTTTTGAGCTAATGAGGGTAAAAATTAGTAATTTGTTGGGTAATCAGATTTTTAAATTCGATGATTTTAGAGATCAACTCTGTGAGACAGTGTTGAGCTTTGTTCTCAATGTAGAAAACTAAGCATAAACCAAAATTGAAAAATCAAAGTTTGGAAGGGTTAAGTCCAAGATAAAACAACTAACGAAAGTGTTGAAATTGTGTTAAAGCATGGTAAATCAAGAAAATTGTTTGAGAACAAAGAGGATGGAGCGAAAGCAGATATACACGTGATTGTTGATGCATGCATCGATTATAATCAAAGTAAAACTCATGATGTGATTATAAACTGTCAATCTCATATTATTGGTTGATAGATTGATCGATTGTGTAGTTCTTGACTTTGGTGCAGAGCCGGCTCTAAGTTTTGAAAGGTCAGAAACAAATAAAAGAAAATGGGATGTTTTATGTTTACATATTCATAGATAAATAAAAATTGACAAGAAAACCAAAACAGCCTTGTTGGAAATTGCAAGGTTGAAGAGAGTCTGGAAAAGACAACAACGACGATCGCAAGGAGGAAAAAGGAGAGAAACGAAAAACAGATTGTTGCCTTGTCTTGTAGTTTTCATTAAGTAAACTAATTTTTGTTTTAATATATTGTTTTATTTATAAAAAAAAATGTTACTAAGGGCTTGGAGACATCACTCCCACAAAACAAAAATCAAGACCACAAAACTAAAGTAAACTATATGAATAATTAAAGCCAAAAATTATTTATATAATTCAGGATCACAAGCAAATGTTTCATGGGCTTGGCCCAAGGGCCGACTCTGCTTAGCTGCATCATTCCGAACATTAACCTTATCTATGAGAAAACTAATACCAAATGTAAGAAAATTCACCAACATAAGTTGTTCAAGATGGAGAAATTTGACGTAGACGCAATGAGTCTAGTGAGATGTAGATTGTATGACATTAGTCGAAGAAGAAGCCTAGTGTACAAGAATATTTTTGGTTATACAAGAGGATTAAGTTGTCAAGTCAACCTATGAAAAAACATTGAAAGAATCGATCATACTCGAAGTGTCAAATGGTGGCCAAGAGTAAAGAGTTGTAATTTGGAACATAAAATATGAACTTAGAAAATGGCAAATGAAGGGCAAGATAGCTTGTCATGATATTACCTAGAAAGGTAATTGAAGTGAAAATTTCTGAAAATCCGAAGAAAAAGATTGTTCAATATATGGTATTTATTATGAAGACGACAAAAATTTAATCGAAGGTATTCTATCAATAGACGTCATCGTGAATCGTACGCGTGGCTTGATATAGATAGAAAGCATCGACAAAAGTAACCGCACTTATCACTTTAAAACTAAAAGGCATCGTGTGCGTGAGAAGTGTGAAAAATCACGCTATAACGCAAAAGAAAAAAAGGATTCTGTGAGAATTAAAGTATTATTTCAAAGAGAGTAAATCGCCAGAAAATCACACTATTGTTGCCTTCTTTGGTGAAGCTCGGCTTGCAATCAACGGAGATATAACATCTTTCCATCAATGCCTTGGAGTGATATCTGAAGAAAATCGGCACCGCCAATGAAAGTGAATCCTGGAAACCACTGCAAAATGCGGCCAAAATCGACATACCGTCAAATAATATGGACCGGAATTCAAAACTCAATCATCTATTACGAATCTGCTAGAGATAAGTTTTTATTTTTGGTTAATAACCTAGCACGAAGGATCTACTATTTACAATAATAAAGATCTTGAAGTTATATATCCTAAATTCTTATTAGTGAGCAATTTCTTTTGCTTTCCAAAATCGAAATTCACATGATGAAAAATTTGTGATGCTATGTAATACTTTTTTGATCTTTACTTTCTTTAATTCTATTAACAAACACATTAGAGACTTACTAAAAAATTATTATCTATGGATGATGAAATGACCCAAAAAAAAAAATTCGTCCCTTTTTTTCATTTATTACATTGGTCTTACCATTTTTATTCCATTATATCACATTAATAATATATATTGTCGATAGATGACTGAATTTGCATGCATGTTTTTTCTTGTTTGGAGTTGTTACGATTAAGCTTGAATGATAATTGATTGTAGGTTGCATGAAATTGGAAGTGAGTACACGAAAGTGAAACATCTGGAATCGCCGATGCGTTTTTTTCCGAAAAATAGGTATGTGGTGGAATCGCTTATATATTTAATTCATTGTATTATAACATTATTCCAAAAGATATGTTTCTACTATATAAATATTATATTAACTAAAACAAATATAATAATTTTTAAATAGTAGAAACATATCTTTTGGAATAATGTTATAATACAATAAACATATCTTTTGATTTTTGATTTTGAAAAATAATCTAAATAATACATAAATAACAGTAAAAATTAAGATAAATGAAAACCAAAAGCAAAACAAAGATATATAAGAAAACACAATTTCATATAGAGCATCAAAAAAAATTAGTGGAGTTAAAATTCTATGAAATATAATATATTCTATAGTTTATTAGAATAGACGTTAAATATAATAAAAAGTTGAAAAAAATTAGTTTTTTTTTAACGTCTATTTAACTTTTTTCAACTTTTTAATAAAAAGTATTAGTATTTAAATAAAAAATATTAAATTATATGGAAAGAAAACGAATTTTCTAAGTATATTTTTAAAAATCCTAATCATACATAGAATTTCTAAATTTATTAACAAATTCTTAAAAACTTAAAAAATTTAAACTAAAAGTTTCAGAGTTTCAGATCATAATTGAAATAGACGTTACTCCTCTTGCATGATACACGTTTATGTTCCAATACAGTATATCATATGTATATACAATACTGTTTATTTTAAAAAGAAAATCAATACAATATTTCTCTTTTAAATACATGTGCATATTATAGTAGTCAAATATATTTATGTATCTCTATTTCATATACTATTACTTAACTAAATTTTTGAGTGAGTAAGAAAGAACCCAAAAAAAAAAAAAGATTCTCTCATTAAGTTTATAGAGATTACATGCTACTTTTGTGCATGGAAAGTGGCATGTAATCTCTCTAAACTTAATGAGAGAATTTTTTTTTTTTTTTTTTTCTTACCCAGTTTGAGATTATTTTAATATATTTTTAACTCTTCAACTAGGTTATGATCCGCGGTACACCGCGGGTTAATTATTTGATTTTTTTATTTTTATAAATTGATGAATTTATTGTGTATAATATTTTTTGTTGTATACCGCGGGTAACATGCGTTGTATCTAAAATAAAAAAATTTAAGTTGTATTTGTTTTGTTTAATGTTTAAGTTGTATTGGTATATTGTCTCGTATTAATATTGACCCAAACCCGTCCAACCATATAATCTAAAATGAAATTAAACATCATTTTGTTATTTTTTTAATAACACTTTTATTTAAATGTTATATAATTCGAGTTAATTTGAAAGTTGCTTTCAAATAGTTTCCATGTATATTTTTAAATTAGTGTGTGTTTTTGGACCAACCCGTAAAAACAATTTATAATTGTATCTTAAAATACTAATTAGGATTTCACCCGTGATATACTGTCCCATTTTAGATAATTATAAAAATTAAAGAAAGATCCGAATGACTCAATTTCGGGTCTGAATAAAATAACGACATGATTAAATGCTCAATTTGTTCTTAAAAATGTTAATATAGATTACACACATATTTTTATTCATCGATTGAGTAATATATGTCCTTTTAAAAAAATTTGAATTGTAACATATGCAGAAAAAAAAAACTAAAATTTACTAACTATTTATATATTTTATAATAATTTAAAATAATATAAATATAAGATCAAATAAAAGTGAAATAAGAATCATATATTTATGTTTAAATTAGGTAGAGGTTTTAGGAAATTAGTGCAAATTTGTTATATTAGCATTAAATCATCATATTTGATTTCTTTATCTATAAAAATCGTGGAGAATATACCATAAATAAAGCGTTTAAATATAGTAATTAGTTGAGAAAGTATATATATTTTAGATTTTATTAATTATTTTCGTTTTTTAATTTTGCCAAAATTTAAGGAAAGATCCGATTGAAGATTGCCGGGTCAAAATTAAATAAATTTGACCCGATTTGGATACCCCAAAAACTGCTGCAAAAATGTATAGTAGATTCCTCCCCATCCAACACCATTCCAAAAAGTATCCATTTAGAGTCGAAGAATTATTTAAGTATATTTTTGTAGCTTACTGGAAAAAGTTTAATTAGTCTCCGATTAATATGCAATCTATAATGTTGAGTTTATATTAAGACCTGAGATAGTTTTCTAATCAAACAAAAGTCAAGTAAAATCAAATGAAATATAGCTTCGATTTGCTAATTATACGTCTTTTGTGTTATAATGAAAAATGTTTCATGGATAAGTGGAAACCATTCTCTCCAAATTTAATGAGTGAATTTTTCTTTTTCTTTCTTTATGAACTTTAAAATTATAACTAAAGGATTCTTTACTTAGTTGTCAATATTGATTGACGAGTTTTCATTCAAAAATCATGAACTATCATTATAGTTGTAAAAAAAATTCATTATACATATACAGTGTACGCTAAAATGAATAACTATTTAATATTCTTTTTGTTTTAGCAGATTAATTAGAGTTTTAAAGTCATGATAAAAAGAGAGAAGAATCTTTTATTAAATTTGGAGAGAATCGTTTCCACTTGTCCTCACCCCATACTTTCCCCGAAAATATTCCGTACAGAGTCGAAAATTATTTTAGTATATTACTTAGATTGCCAAAATCGTTACCTGATTTTCATTTAGTAACTCCCTTATCAGGAAAAATGGAAATTAAAGTAGAATGGAACAATATATTTATTAAATTTCAGAGAAAAAAATCTTCATCGACCAAACATATATGTTTTTTTTGTTAAATTTAAATCATAGAAAAATAACGAAACAATAATTGAAATTTTGAAAAATTATGCATCTAGTTTAAAAACCATGGAAAATGTGTTATTCATTTCGTTAATCAATCATTCCACGAATTCCTCGTAGTGCAAATGTTAAAGCGGATAATTTGGCACGAAAAGTTCGTACCGAACCGCATCATATCACTTATGTAAACAACATTTCCCAGGAATGATTTTTTTTATTTTTAATTAAAAGTTGTTGACAAAAAGAAAAAAAAATCATTCCACGAATTATAGATTATGACATATAAATGGTATTTGTTAGTAAAAATAACAACAATATAGATTGATAAATAATAGCACTGATTTAATTTTTTTTGTCAATCTAAGTATATAATAAAGTAATTGTTGTCAGGTTGTACTAACAAATATCATAACTATGTCGTAATCTACAATTCGTAGAATATTGAATGATTAACGAATGATAACACATTTCCATAGTATTATCTAGATGCATAACTTTACAAATTCCAATTCATGTTTCTTTATTTTCTATGATTTAATTTTAATAAAAAAACATATCTTTGGTGGATTACATTTTTTTTTCTTTCTGTATAACTAATATATATTGTTCCATTCACTTTCCATTTTTTCTCTGATACGGGCGTTACTAAATGAAAATCAAGTAACGATTTTCGTATGGAGTTTGATATTCTAGCTTTAAGCTATGAGACAAATTTGCTATTTCAACCTAAGTCAAGTAATCTCAAAGGTACAATGAATCCTCCTCTTCTCTTCCAAATCAGTTATCGTCTGAGTCTGTAGAAACAAAAAGCCTTTATTCTTGGTCACAAAATGTTCTTTTCCCCTAAAAATAAGTCGTAGAATCTACGTATATACAAATCACATGTTGACCAGTAAGTAATGAGAGTTAAATGGACTTTAAAACCTAGAGTTTAATGTGGTAGAGAGAGAGAGGAAGACGCCATTGAATTCTGGAAAAAAGGAAGATACAGAACTTTTGCAACACTTGTTCACCATGCAAATTCCACTCGTCTCTTTGCTCTTGGTTTCAAACTTTAACCTAACCTATCTTCTAAACTATGGTTGAGTGTTAATTAAGTGACATTAGATCTTGTTGCGTTACTATCATCATAATAATCTTATCAAGATTTTGAAAATCTTACTCTTACAAAACCCTAGATTCATGAATGTAGGTTATACAAATGTCACTTCCTTACCATAAATAGTAAAAAATAAAAAATCAAAATCAAAAACTTTGTTATGGTAAACCCAAATCTCTGATTGCCCAGCGTCCATTTTAAGCCTCTGTTTCGATCTGCACAACACACATACACACAACACAACACAAACCACAGTCTCTCTCTATCTTCTCTTTCTCTCTCTCTATCTCTATCACTGAAACCCAAAGAGATCCACCATTTGTTCTTTTTTCCTTCATACAGAGAACTGTTTTCTTCCACACTTCCTTTTTACTAGGCAGTGTTAACCAATTGAGAGAGAAAAATGATGGTTGATGAAAATGTGGAAACCAAGGCCTCTACTTTAGTGGCAAGTGTTGATCATGATCATCATGGGTTTGGATCCGGGTCGGGTCATGATCATCATGGGTTATCGGCGTCTGTGCCTCTGCTTGGTGTTAACTGGAAGAAGAGAAGGATGCCAAGACAGAGACGATCTTCTTCTTCCTTTAACCTTCTCTCTTTTCCTCCTCCTATGCCTCCTATTTCCCACGTGCAAACTCCTCTCCCCGCACGTGTAAGCTCCTCAATCTTATACTTTCCCCCTCTCTCTCTAAATATTATTAATTCAAAAAAAAAACAAAACTATTTATGTTATTTTTATAAAATCTGTGTGGATCCAAATAAAAATAGATTTAGAGTTTTGTATATTTCTATTGGATTGCTTTTATTAAAAAGATTCAATTAATGAAAATTGTGATGATGTCAGAAAATTGACCCAACAAAGCTAAGATTCCTCTTCCAAAAGGAACTCAAGAACAGTGACGTCAGCTCCCTCCGCCGTATGATACTCCCCAAGGTGATCTTTGATTATATTTGATCATGATGGTTTTGAACTTTTGATGATGATGATGATGATAATGATGTTGATGTCTTGATGATGATGATGATCGATGTAGAAAGCGGCAGAGGCTCACTTGCCGGCACTGGAATGCAAGGAAGGGATTCCAATAAGAATGGAAGATTTGAATGGTCTTCACGTTTGGACCTTCAAGTATAGGTACTTTTACCTTTGATCATTTTACTCTTAATCAATGTTATGTAACAAAGCATAGGTTATATAGTTGAATCAACTATTCAGTTACAAATTTAGTTAGCAAGAATTTCAAAATTGGCTAGTACGAATCTATATGGATAATTCTTGGTAGATCAATCATTTTGAAAGCATTCACTTATCCATGTCGATCTTAAGATCTTCAAAATATATATATATATATATATATGATATATCCATAGTCTTTATAACTAATAGCTAGGAGCTTTCAATTCGTCTCCATGATGGAATAATATAGCATCATTTCATTTAAGACTAACCTAAAGTAAATGAGATCTTTAAAAGAAATTTGATGTTTGAGTCTTGGCCTAATGTTGTGATCATTAGGTACTGGCCAAACAACAATAGCAGAATGTACGTGCTAGAAAACACAGGTAACCTTACCGACAATCCTGGTTTCTTTTTTTATAATTATATCCCGAAAATAAACAATGGAATCAATTGTTAAAATTATCGGGTCGAGCTGGGTATTATTTCCAGGCGATTTTGTGAACGCTCATGGTCTGCAGCTAGGTGACTTCATCATGGTTTACCAAGATCTCTACTCAAACAATTACGTACGTTACACGCTACTAAAAAGAATATTCTACAAAACGTGTTACATGTTATGCCCAATTTTATTCATTTATTTTAATTTAGGTTATACAAGCAAGAAAGGCATCAGAAGAAGAAGGAGACGTAACCAATGTTGAAGAAGACGACGTTTACACAAACTTAACAAGGATCGAAAACACGGTCGTTAACGATCTTCTCCTCCAAGATTTTAATCATCACAACACCAACAACAACAACAACAACAACAACAGCAACAAATGTTCTTACTATTATCCCATCATCGACGATGTCACTACAACCACTGGTTCTTTTGTCTACGACACGACGGCTTTAACCTCCAACGACACTCCTCTCGATTTTTTGGGTGGACATACGACGACTACTAATAATTATTATTCCAAGTTTGGAACATTCGATGGTTTGGGCTCCGTTGAGAATATATCTCTCGATGACTTCTACTAGATGATCAATCGATGGGCTCATGATGATTGTTAATGGTGATCAACTATTTTATTTCCTTATAATAGATACCCTATAAGAATTAAGTGCATTTGGCATATATATTATCAAGTGTTCAGTATTACATTACAGTTTATATGAAAATTATAGCTAGATGGGAGTCATATGAAGGTGTGTTGTGTTGTGTTTGATGAATAAATGTTATTTAGTGTAACGGCTTTAATATATTAATCCTTGCCCAACAGAAAAAAAAGAAGATATATAATACTTTTATTTTTATGGGAGATTTTTTGTTTCTCTTGCATTGTTAACCATTATATACTAGATTAAAACCACATGATAAATGGGTTCCAGTTTAAAAATAATACATTAAAATTAATTTTATCACGATTTTGAAGTGTTAGAATTAAATTTTCAAATTAAAATGTTAAATTTTATTCAACGAAAAAAGACCTTGTTTACAATATATGCAACTTAAGATAGAAGTGCTTAAATGATCATAATAGAATTGTATCTATTGTAAACCCACTCTATATATTTCCATTTTTCTATAAATCTATATTCCAGCTGTAATCTTAGACTCTCGTTATCAATACTCCCTCCGTATTTGAATAAATGTCGTTCTAGCCTTTTTTCTGTGTTTTTAATTAGTTGTCATTTTAACAACTTTTGCATAAAATTTCCTAAATTACCCTCAATTAATTGATCATAATTAATCAGTCTAAATTACCAAAACTACAGATACGAATCGATTTTCATAAAATTCTGTGCCCTTTCTTAATTCACCCAAAAACAGTTGAAACGACATTTTTTCAAATACAGAGGGAGTATTAGCTTTGTAATCCATAATCGAGAATTCGAGCAGGACCGGCTCAACATTTTTATGGGCCCTGGAGCAAAAAAAAAATTTGGGCCTTTAATTTTGTTTTTTTAAATGTTTTTTCCTATAAAAAAAATTTGTATGCTATTTATATTAACAAAAATAATTATTAATACTAAAAACAACAAATAAAAAAAATTATGGGCCCTTCTAAATTTTATTTTTATGTTATATTCTAATTTTTTAACACTTTTATAAATAAAAAAATTTTAAATGGACCCTTTAATTATTAGAACACGGGGTTGGACCCCTGGCCGTCGCACCGCCCGCCCTCCTATCTGAGCCGGCACTGAATTTGAGATATAATAATCTTGCGAGGAAGAACAACGGGAAGCCAAGAATGTCGAGGTTTAACTTTTTGGAGTTCTTTTCAATGAAAGACGCTGACAAACCTTAACACGAATGGTATCTGATAAAAATAATTTCTTTTTTCGTGAACAGACCTTGTCGCATTCTATAATTTGGGAAAAGAGATCACAACTTTTTTTCCGCATCAATAGGTTTGACAAATTAAGGATTGAAAAGATTCAATGTAAACTTTTTCCGCATCAATGGAGATGTGTCTTTAGTCAAGTCCATTTGACTCCGCTTTCTCCACCGGAATTCGATTCCACTAAATCGCGTTATCCCGCGTAATAGGAATTAGTTATGGATCGGATCTTGTCGATCCAAAGATGTCAAAAAAGTTTAAAAATAAATAATACATTTTTGTTTTAAGCAAAGCAACACATCTAACTTATAATTAAATCATAATATGCGCATTCAACTAAACTATATATATATTTATACTCATTACTTATAAAGTTTTACATTTTTTTTTTGTTTTTTTTTCCCTTCTAAATTCATTGATATCAAATCAAGGTTACAAAGTCGGTACAGAAACTTTTAGAAACAAATTATTACATAAGCAGATATATGCGCCATATAATGAGAGATACACAAAAGAAGTAAATTTGACGATGCTTTCCGCAGATAAGCCTTATTCGCTAACGGATTATTAAATCTATTATTTTTTTTCTCTATGTTCGATCTCGCTATGATGCGAACTGTGTGCGTGGATAGCTTTTCTTGGCCTGATCTCCAAATTGCACACTGCATGGTTAAACCTAATGCTTCCATCATACATTCTGGAGCTATGACTATCGGATACCAACACATCCGTAACCGAGTCGTTCTATGGAGATTTAACTTTGAGATTATTTTCTTTGAAATCAACCTTTGATGTCGTTTCCGCATATTGGCTATGGTTTTCTCCTTCCTTCCACAATGCCCTCTCTTCCACAGTTGTTGCGTCAGATATTTTTCAAAACCAAGAGCATCTTCCAAATATTTCAGACTAGATTCATGAGTTCCCATCCAACGCACGTCATACGTTTGAGTAGAACAAATTCTGTAATCCAAATCCACCACATGAGACATGTGAAGGAATAATTCCAATCCAACTTTACCCCGATCGTAATCCTTGACAAAGCATCTCAAACGGTGAAGGCGTCGTCGATATAATTCACAACCACCATTGGTCTTACCGACAATAGTGATCCTCCTTGCACGCAATATGAAGATTGTGGTTCTATCCCATAGTCTCGAAGAGGCGTGAAAAGTAGAGGACATCCATGGTGGCTTAGGGGATCGAACTTTATCCAAGAGGGATAATTTCCACCAACCGTCAGAGATTTCACTCAACGGACTAACACCGACATGTCTGATCCAATGAAAACAGAAAACAGATTCCGGACAAACACTCTTCTGGATGAAGAGAAAACGAATACGATGATCGCATAAATAGACATCTTTCAACGGAGAAAGGGTATGGAGAAGAAAAGATGGTGCCAGTATCGAAGTCGGCATTTGAATTGAGATCGCCGGAATGAAGACATGTACCACCACGGATTCTAAGAGGCAAAGGGCGTGATTTTGATGTTCACGATTAGCCATTATTAGAAACGAAATCTATGCAAAAACTATGTGAAGAGACTAAAGGAGGAGAGAGGTGCCGACCGACGCCAGAGAAGCCGACGCCGGCCGGAAACTATGGAGATCAGAGGGGTATTGTTGGTGAACAGGCGTCTTCGTGATGGAGAGAGACTTATAAAGTTTTACATATTAACAAAAAATACTATAGAAAATTTATATGTTGATAAAATCATTTCATGCTTGTAAAGTTTGTATTAAGCTACATCAATGTTATCTGTATCTATAAATCTATATATGTAATGGGAGAGTCTTCTCTTCATCTAGTCTATCCACCTAAGCATCCACCTAAGCAATATTATTTATTTTACATTAAAATACATTTTAAACACTCATTTAGTGCATATTTATGTTCCTTATAATTAATAAAAAAAAGAAATAAATAAAAAACGAATTATGTAAAATAAATGAGATGTTAAAATAATAAAAAAACTATAAAAATATTATTAATAGTAATAATATACTTCCATTTTTAATAGATAAAAATTACAAATGATCATACTTCAAATCTTTAAATGTGTTAATGAGTTTTAGAATAGAAGTATATTTTAAATACATGGTAGAATAAAAAAAATCTATGTAATTCTATATGTTAGATTTTAAACAAGAAAATAAAATTTAAACTGAACCATTAGCTTCTAAATAAATATACCACATATTTTTATTTAGTATTAAATTTTTACTTAAATAAAAATAAAAGATTACTAAACTCAACTCTAATTTACGAATCACATTATTCATGAGTTCTACACAAACTATACAGAAAATGAAATGTAAGCCATTAAAAAAAGTGATATGAAATTTGTATAGCATATTCTCAAGTGCAACTACAAGTTTATAACATGATCGAAAAGAAAAACAAGATTGATATTCCTCAATTGAATCAAATGCTTTGAACCCAAAAATTTGAGTATTGAAAGATAGTAATTAAGGAGAAATAGTTAATGATATGTCTTGAAAATCAATTTATAGTCCAATATATATAATATATGAGTTAATAGAAGGTGAAAAGAAAGTAGATGTCGAGAGTCAACGAGTGCATCATAGAAGATGACGAAAGAATTGGTAGTTAAAAGTGTTTGAAAATAAATTTCTAAAACTTAGAAATATAATGCACATGAATAAGGTCAAATTCTTTGAGATTTCATGCATTGTGTGAAACGAATGAGTTTTTTTAAAAATACATGACACACATTATTAAACAGATTATTAGATTCAAAGTTGGGATTAACCGTTTGGTCGTGTAATCATGAAAAGTTAGATAAAATAGACACATTGATAACTTAGTCGAGAATTCTCTTATAGCACCATGCACTTGCTTCAGTGGGTAAAAAAAGCTTTGCTAAAACGGTTATAGCAACATGATATTATAGATGTGTTTTTACACTAAATAATGTTCATAAATTGGGTATATTCACATTATTTTATGCTCAAATTTTGTATTAGTAAAAGAAATTTTAAAAATTAAAATCCCGCGCAACGCGCAGGTACAAAATCTAGTTATATGGAATTTACTAGAAATTTAATCCCGTACATGTTGTAGACAAAATCTAGTTACTGTATCACTAATTAAAAAAGGCAAACAATTTAGAACACATCAACTAATATGGTAAAGAGAAGAAAAATAACCCATCTCCCCCACCATATTAGAAAAAAAAATTATTTGCATGATAAGAAAAATATTTTTGTTATCGAATAAATTTTTATTTTTTTAGTAGAAATTTTCTTTTAGTAAAAAAAAAATTGAGAAAATTCTTCTCCTTTTATCTCATACCAGATGATAATGTTTTTTTTTTTTTTGATGAAATGTGAAATTGATTACTTAAAAAAACCTTTACAAACTGTTTTTATCGACAAGAGAAATTAAAGATGTGAGAAGAATACAAAAGATGATAATGTTTCTACAAATGATAACGTTCTAGTCAAATATAAAACATAATAAGTTGTTATTAAATAAATGATTTAATTTCTCGCATATGTTAATTTATTTTAATTATTATGATGAATTTCTTGATTTATATACTTATATTAATTAATTACTTCATTTAAAAGAAGTTTGATTAATTTGTTCAAATACAATACAAAAATATAGCTACACATTTGAAGTAAAAGAATTTTAAAAATATTTTCTGGGATGTACTTTGTTTTTTTCAAAAAAAAAAGAGATATTTAATAATACCTCATATGATCACTGTTTTGATTTTATCATCTTCTTCTTCTTCTCTTTCTTTGTCTCTCTCTCTCTCAATGCCTTACTCAAGCATCGAACTTGTCACACGTAGCACTTAGAGTGCCATCGCAGACCAGACGAACTACAAGAGTTCGGCGTTACGTATCACCTTTACTTTGTTTTATTGTATCAGCTAGACTCTAGTCAAGTACCATATTTTTAAGTTTAAAGGTTAACAAAACCAATAGATTTGCAAAATCGTTTTAGTACTTTCTTACACTAATCCGATTAAACACGAGAAAAAATTACTCATCAAATTCGAAACCCAACGAAATTATAATAATATCGAATCACCAATAATCTCCACAAGAACAAAACCCATCTTTGAAATGGTGAAACCGCTTCGCATCTCTAACCACAAACTCTCTATCAACAATCTTTGAAATCAACTTGATCACATTGTGACAATCGCTGCAAACTCTCAGATTCTTAACCACATTAACCGTCGAGCCAGGAACCGTGTTCATGATCCCAAACGCAATCGCTAGTTTCTCGCTGTGAACTCTCAGTGTCATCTCTTTTTCTTCCTCATCAACATCATGACATACAGATGACGTGTTCGATACGTAACCTGCCTCTAACAGCTTCCTGTTCAGTTCTGCTAAAAACTCGTAAATCTTCTCGCGTTGAGGATGCTCTTCGTCTCCTATCAAGAACACATGAACCTCACCATTTAACTCAAGTAGGCTAAAACCCGGGGGTTTCACCAATCCACGATTCTTCATTGTCATTCTCACCCTCTCAACATCTTTCCAACGCCCCGAATCAGCGTAGATATGCGAAAGCAGCATGTAATAACCGCAGTTCGAAGGATCCAATTCGAACAAACGTGCCACGGATATCTCAGCGAGCTCCACATTCTTGTGAATTCTACAAGCTGCAAGAAGTGAGCTCCAGATGATAGAGTCCGGCTCCATCTTCATTTTCTGAATCAAATCATAAGCTTTTTGAAGAAACCCAGCTCGACCTAGAAGATCAACCATACAACCGTAGTGTTCTAAACCCGGTTCCACACCAAATCTTCCCTTCATCGCGTTAAACCAGTGCCAGCCTACATCATGAAGACCCGCGTGACTGCAAGCGGCTAACACCGATACAAAAGTAATGTAATTTGGTCTAACCCCTGAATCGATCATAGCAGGGAATAACTCTAACGCTTTAGCCGCATGGCCATGCATTCCATATCCAGCAATCATGGCGGTCCACGACCTAACATTCTTGTTTTTCATTCGATCAAATGCTAATCTTGCCGTCTCCACTCTTCCACATTTGCAATACATATCAATTATCGATGTCCCAACTATCACGTCATCCTCAAGACCCATCCTTATTACCTGCATATGCACATTATATCTTTGCAAATTAGACACATTCATCGATACACATACACATCATCCAAAATAATTTGAAATTATGACAAGAGTCAAATCACCTGATCATGTATACACTTTCCAATACGGAGAGCACCCGAATGCGAAACCGCTAACAACACAGTAGACAATGTAATGCAGTTAAAGGTCACAACTTTCTCCTTAATCAGTCTACGAAAAACATCAAAAGCCTCATTAGACATCCCACTCTGAGCATACACACTCATAATCGAATTATACGAAACACGATCCTTATCCACAATCTGATCAAAGATTTTTCTCGCCACAGCTACACCTCCTTCTCCACCCTTGGCATAAGCATCCAAAAGAGTATTACCAACACTCACTCCTCTATCAAACCCTCTTTTTATCACAAAGCTATGGATAGATTCCGTTAAACCCTTAGCAGCAACACGAGAACAAGCCGAGATTACCGAAACCATACCCATAGAATCAAGAAACATTGTAGCGTCATCCTCATGATCTACATCATTTTCTTCGATCAATAAATCCTTAAATAGAGAAACAGCATCAAGGGCGTTACCGTTAAGATCATACCCTCGAATCATCGAAGTCCAAGAAACAATATTTCTCTTGGGAATTTCGTCGAACACCTTCCGTGCATCCTCAAGTTTCCCACAAGTTGAATACATAACGATCAAAGCCGAAGACACAAAGATGTCAGATTGATAACCGAAGACAAAAGCTTGCTGATGGGTCTGTTTTCCGGAGAAGATATCAAGAAGAGACGAACATGCTTTAATGGCGCAAGGAAAGCTAGAGCGAGTTGGGTATAGAGAGAGTTTTCGCATTGAGGAAAAAGCTCGAAGAGCTTCAGCAGAATCACCGCTACGAGCGAGGTCGGCGATGACAGAGTTCCATGAGAAGACATCTGTTTTGTCGACATATCTGTTGAACAAAGTCGTTAGGTTTTGTCTCTCTGTGTGTCTCTCCGTGTGGAGAAGACGAGAGACGGAACAGAACAGTGCTTTTTTACTCGGAACCTTCATTCATTCTTTTGTCTCAAATTAATATTTTGACTAATTTCATACTTAAATATCAGACAAAATTCGATTATTTTATTTTGTTCGAGAATTAAGCAATAACACAAATGCTTTTGTTCTTAATCTAGTACATGACAAAAAAATAGTAAATCATAAAGCTTGCAAAACCAAAAACAAGAACAAATATCAAAATCAATAAATCGTTTTTGTTATCTTTTTTACTCATTTCACAAACAAAACATTACAAAGAGGCCGTGGCATTTCATCATCTGTGAAACCTTTGTTCTTGAGCTTCTGCAGATTCATGGTGTATACATATATGGATCCTCGTTTTTCCAAATAATTTATCGGTAAATAACGCTACAACAATCTAAGATGAGCAGTATCATTCATTCGTTTGATCTGCCACCCATTTCTCCATGAATGTTGTAATACAGTCACTGAAGAGTCTTCTACACAGATTTTGTGAGTCATTACCGGACTGCAACCGAGGATTCCGGTTAGAAGACACTTTATAGGCAAAGAATGCGTGAAAACCCCGATGCAATTCGTGATTAACGAAGCGGAATCACTTAGGTCATTGTGATTGCGATTAACATCTTCCCTTGGGGATTCATCTTCAGGTTCGTGATTGGTCATTACTTGAAGTCTGCTTTTACCAGATTTCTTCCTTGTAAGACTGGGACGATGCTTGTGAAGTAAGTCCCAGTTAGTCAAAGGAAGTGACGAACCACCATCACGCTCATGGGTTTCATTGTGATTTGTAGTGGACGAATAATCAGACCTGAGCTTCTCTGCAAGTCCTGAGACTGTCCCGTTTAGAAACTGAACCATTCGAAACTCTACTTGCCTGAGTGATTCTCCAGATGGAGCAGTAAAATCAGGCTGGCATCTTTCAATCAAACTCAAAGTCTCGGGAATATAAATCTCTGCTTGATTGCAACCTTCCCAATCCCCTAAACTCATCTCAATAATAGCATCTGACGATTGTACATGCTCCTCCGGAAAACTCATTTCCTTCAAAAACAAAATGTGTGCAATTCAATAACCACTTTCATACTCATTTCTTTCACTAAAGGATCCATTGATATATAAAGACTAACAAACAACGAATCGTGCCTTCCTTAATAAACCATGAACAAGATAGGCTCTGTATTTTCCAGCGACAGGCAAACGAACACGGCTATAAAGCTAAAACAAAGAGCACTAACAGTAGTACTTAGTGGTTTCAATGGATTTATGTTGCTCAAGTCTCTTCAACATTATAACAATCAACTCTTACCAAATTCATTCCCAAGAAATTTCTCAGATCAATCTCAACAAATTAGGCAACATTGTTAAAACTTAGATCCAAGAGAAGAGACTAAGAAACTTTACCTGACAAACCAAAACAGCCATGGATCTAGCTCGATCCAAAGGAGAAGAGAAAACAGAATTGAATCGAACACCTTGAGATTTAAAGAAAACAGCAAGAGCCCTAGCTTGACGTTTACCATTACCAGTAAGAGCAGCTACATGACATCTCCCACCAATCAAATCAGGTCTTAGATTAAGATCACACTCACCATGACTAATCAGATAAACCTCCGTCACAGCTCGATCTTCATCACCAGACGCGATGCGAGAGAAGATAGACGGCGGCGGAGAGAGGACGTTATAAGGATCCCAGATTTTAATCGATGGTCCAAGCCTTGGAGTTCCGAGAGATGATAGTTGTGGTGAGAGTGGTGAAGCTGAAGCATGACATGGTAACATCTCAGGCTCTTGTTCTAGAACTTTCTTTACTAGGAGATTGTCTAATTCTCTTGTGTTTGATCTGCCATTATCTTCTTCTTCTTCTTCTTCATTGTCAGTTTCCTCTTCTTCACCTTCGTCTCCTACTTCCGCAGATTGTGAAGAACCCATCTTCTTTGTCAATAGTGATCGGAGAAACTGAAGAAGAAGAAGAGAGCTTTTTGTTTTAGCTTAAAGCGATCACATCACATGGCTTTGCTTTGATGGCTCCACCATTTAACAGATCTAAAGCAAAACCTCTGTGTCAGCTAACAGGTTTAAATATTGGGCCCGGCCCGTTACAGGGTAAAACGTCTGGCCTTGTATACGCTGGAATTTTATAGTAGCTAATCCGCGATATCCAGTTCAATGTAGCTAAAAAATACTAAAATAATAGTAATAATTATTAGAAAATGTTATATTAAGATTTTAAATTTATTTTCATTAATTTTTAGAACATTTTAGTATTTGGTTTCTAAAAATACACTAAATTTTGTAGCATAAAAGTTTATTTTTGATGATATTTTGACATATTTTAATTCTATTAATTATATAATATATACATATCAATTTATAAATATATTTCTAACTTGCAATATACTGTATATATATATATATACAAATTATATTTAAAAAAACAGCTTTGGATTCGAAAACTCTACATATCGTAATTTTCAGACCGGATCGGATCGAAGATCGGATAGGACTCTAAAACCTTAAGTTATGTTCTAAATTTCTGTTTGTTAACTTTTTCTGTTTTAGTAAAATAATCCATTCACAAAAAAATCATTTTAGCATAAAATTTTTGTTACATAAATAGAGCGTCATTTTTAAATTTAATGAATTCATTTTAACCTCAATTAAAATGACAAATATATATTTTCTTATAAATCTTTTTAGCACCTAAAAATCACTTTCTATACAAAATTAATTTTGTTAATCCCAATCCCAATTTCTTTGAATGTTGTTTCTCGTTCGAAAATGATCGATAATATAATACATAGTTATTTGTGTATAAATTGTTAGCCATTAACGAGAAGGGGATACAACTCGATTTTCGAATGTTGGAGGAATATACATTGTCAAACTTTCATTTATGTAGCTAGAACGAGAGGGTAAAATCTCAAAACCCTACCCAGTCGCAACCCCAGACCACCAGTTTATCAGGGGGCCCTTAAGTGGAGGCTTAAAAATCCCTGTGACGTGGGCTTAGGCCCAGTGGGCTAGTCAGATCACTGTGTGATCTGGATACTGGATTATCAAAAAAAAAATATATATAATACATAGTTATTTGTGTATAAATTGTTAGCCATTAACGAGAAGGGGATACAACTCGATTTTCGAATTTTGGAGGAATATACATTGTCAAACTTTCATTTATGTAGCTAGAACGAGAGGGTAAAATCTCAAAACCCTACCCAGTCGCAACCTCCTCCTCCGAAACCCTAACCCTAACTAACGCCGTATAGTTATGTCATCTCTGCCGATTAATTTCTTATTCTCTCATCGCAATTGAATTTCACCATCTGTGTTTGGAGGTCGAAAAAGCGTTGAACAGCACCACAGAAAATTCTTCTATTCAAGCTTTGCCAATGAAACAATGGTTAGTTTCTTTGTATGCTCTAGATTCATTAATTAAGTGTCATCTCCAAAACTTCAAAACAAACTCGTGTTTTGTTATGGTGTTTGGCAGCAAAAGAGATAGGGAGAGTATGAGAAACCAAGATGTTGTGAATGCAGACAGGATCAGTGAGTTGCATGAAGCTTTGATTCTGGAGATATTGTCTCATCTTCCTACAAAAAAAGGTATAGCCACGAGTGTTTTGTCTAAACGATGGCAGTCTCTTTGGAAGATGTTGCCTAAACTCGAATTTAATTATAATGATCACAATGGTGAACTCGGGACATTTTCAAAGAATGTTCGCAAGGCTTTGCTTTCATATATGGCTCCGGTTTGTTGGTGTTTTTGCTCTTGTATAATTGTAGAAGTCATTGCTTCAAATACAGAGCATGGTAGAGAAAACAAAGAATTGAAAAGTGGAAAAACTTCTTTATTATTCTCGACAGTTTTTACATAAGACAACATACACACTTATATAGATGTGTACATAACTAACTACTCTACGTAACCGTTGGTAAGAGTTGTAACTTTTCCGACAAGTTACGTGTCTTACTCACACCCTTTCGTAGTAAGTAACATGTAGCACATAACATCCGTTGACTTTACATACAAACTATATATAACATATATGATATTACAAGATTTAATCATGGACACAAATTCTAACACGGTTCTACAGAGTTTGCATCTCAAAATTAGTTTAGATAAATGTAATGCAAAGGACACTGCAATGTTGATCGGAATTGCATTTTCCCGCAATGTGCGCAAGCTGGTACTTGAAGTTGAACTTGGGGAACGGTTCATATTTCCTGAAAGCTTGTACAATTGTGAAACACTAGAGTCCTTGAAAGTCAAGTTTTCGGTTCTTATGGTTGTCCCTTCTTCAGTTTCTCTTAAATCTCTTAGAACTCTGCACCTTCACTATATATGTGGACTTCATAAACGACACATCAGCTCTTAACCTTTTATCTGGCTGTCCTAATCTTGAAAACTTGGATATGCATGGAACACCAAAAGGCAGTGTGAAGCCTTTCACTATTGCAATTCCATCCTTACAAAGACTATCAATTTGTCATAGTAATGATATACGGCATGCGGGCTATGTGATAAATGCTCCTTCTTTGAAATACTTGAATATTATGTGGCTTGATGGTATTGGGTCTTGTCTTATTGAGAATGCACCTATGCTGTTGGAGGCAAATATTGTCACCAATGATACAAGTTTCATTATGGGATCACTCACTTCAGTCAAACGTCTCTCCTTGAACATATTAGCCTTGGAGGTAAAGTTTTCTTGTAATTATTTAGTTTACTTATTATCGCATTGTTACTCTACTAATAATATTGCCTTCATGTATAGATTCCATTTCCTACTGGTAGTATATTTTACCAGTTAGTATATTTGGAGATGTGTATAAATAGAGCAGATTGGTGGAATCTACTAACGTTCATGCTCGATACTTCTCCTAATTTACAAGTCCTCAAGCTCATCGGTGTAAGCATTGTAAATTCACCTTTTAGCAATTTTCCCGCTTATATTGGGGTTTGATGATTTAATATATATAATTTACTTTGTGTTTACTCGCTATTGGTCTCAGCCACAGTTATGGCATAAGGTTGTATTTGGCGCACCCTTGGGAAAATGGATTCAGCCAAAGAATGTTCCTAAATGTTTGGTACTCAATCTCAAGACATTAGTATGGAAAGATTACGAATGGCAAGAAAATGAAAAGAGGTGACGAAATATATCCTTAGTAACGCAAGTCGTTTGGAGAAAGCAACTTTCTTCATAAAACACCTTACCTCGGAAGAGAGAGTTGCGATGGTCGAGGAGTTGGAAACTGTGATCAAGGCTTCAAGTTCATGCCAGCTTGTATTCAATAATTCAAATGAACTTATGTATTTGGAGAGTTGCTTTTAAAATTTATTAAATGTTAAAATCCGGATTTGAAATCTTGAACACAAAACTTATTTATAGAAGATACAAATGATAGATCATGATTCCGAAGGAAAAGGAAAACCAGCTATTTTGAAAGCAGTCATGCCACCGTCCACGACCAAGTTATGGCCAGTAACGTATTTACCGTCGTTGGAGGCCAAATACAGAGCAGCTTTAGCAACGTCAGCTTCTTCACACTCAGCTCCTTTTAACTCACCCATTCCTTTCACTGTTTCGCGTAGCTTCTCCTCCGATACCTTCGGGAACACTTTACGAAGGTAACGGAGAGTGAGCGGTGTAGCCACCGTAGCCGGTGAGATACAGTTGATACGCACTCCGTGTTGGCAGAGCTCGCTTGCTGCCGACTTGACTATTCCGGGAATTGTGAACTTTGAGATTGTATATGAATGTGGAGCCAACCCTCCAGTCACGCCTGCATTGTTTGGTCCATAACAAAAGTCAAATTTGAGCGTCGACCACAAATTGAAATTTGAAGTATTTAACCAAGCGTTGATTAATACGGTAGGCTATTATATTAAGCTTTAATTAAAAATCTAAAACGCTTCATAATGACCAAAGTCACAAAAACTTAAACACTTAAAATTAAAAAGATAAATGTAAAATGGAAGTATGGTTTCTGACTAAGATTCCATAAACTTATGCAGTTGTTAAATGTACTAATTAACCATTTTTTTGGTTTAATGTAAGGTACTTCTATCTAATCTAATTTAATGTTAATACCTGCAACGCTTGATGTGCACAAAATGCATCCTGACCTAGCCGGAATCATAAACTTGGCGGCGTGTTTGATGCCGGAGGCAACCCCAAAAACATTAACCCTCATCACTCTCTCGAACTCCTTCATATCAAGCTCCGATATGCTGGCCGGAGTCATGGGTCCAACAATCCCAGCGTTATTGTACATCACGTCTAGCTTCCCGTACCGCTCCACCGTCATTTCCACAGCTCTAGCGATATCCGCCTCCACCGTGACATCACACCGCACAAACTCTGCCGCTGAGCCCAGCTCTTTAGCGGTTATAATCCCGGTTTCCGCATCTAAGTCGGCGATCACTACCAGTTATGAGAGCTATTTTTCCTTCTAGCTTTTTACTGCATAATTTAGTGATTTGTATTAGTGCAACATGTATATATATATAATCTTAGTGATTTGTATTAATGTCCTCACCGTGCTATAATTCAAATTTATAAAAAATCTATCTAATTAAAGTTGACTTAGGAGTTACGATCAATATATAATATAGATTAGATCAAGACCCATTGAGTTAAAATTTTGATCAATAGGTGCTTTTTCATTTAAATGTGATACTATAAGATCGATCGATTTGGTCCAATCAAAATCAGAGATGAGAGACAGAAGAAGAGACTTACTTCGTAAAAGTACAACCGCAGCCACCACCACCTGTCGAGTAAGCGGCTGAGGCTGCGGTGGCTGGCCGTTTAAAGTTTCTGAATGAGAAGAAGAAACAAAATTAAGCTGATCTTTAGCCTTTTAATTAGGAAAATAAATTATTAAAACAAATTAGTAAATAGTACGTAATTAGTAGTAATCGAGAGATGATCTAAATTTACCTAACGACGGATCTGATCAGTACGGCCGCCATGGAAGACTGCTTGTTGAGATCAAAGAGTTTCTAGTATTGATGGATACAAAGTCAGAAGAGCTTGGTGTAGTGGCAGTGTGGCACCTAATAGGTACAATATTACCTATTAGTTACAATATTTTAATATTCTATATTTGGATGCAGTGAAAATACTATATCACGTGGATGCATCTCTATAATCTCATATGACCATAAGTAGAAATACATAAAAAAAAAAAATTATGCAAGAAGTTATAGATAGGCTGTTTTATATATATAAAGAAATGAAGTAAAAATTCAATATAAAATATAGAAGTTTTTTTCTTTACACTTTATAAATTAGTTTTGCTTTTGTCGTCTGTTATATTATCATTATAAATATTTAATCTAATCTTATTATAATGATAGCTAGACTACAAACAATATATACGATTACGATGAACAATTTTCATGAACAACGATTCTACGATGCAGATTTTTCTGCAATACTAGAATCCACAACTGACGGTTCTGCATATATGTTATTTGATGGACAATCTATCCTTATAACTCTTGGGACCACGATGAATACCTCTGCTTGCAGTATGTTTTGAAACCTCCGATAAGCTTTTCATAAATATTCTGCAAAAACTTGCGTCCTCTAAGAATTGAACCAAGAATTTTAAAACCTTTAAGGCTTTCACAAATAGGCCAATGGCCTCCACAAAAATGAAAATTTTCCTTTTTCAGTCTATATATATATATATATATATATATATATATATATATATATATATTAAATTGTTAGTGATTTGGATGTGTATATAAAAAAAGGCTAAATTATTGAGCTTCACCAAAAAAACTAGAAGTATTCAATCATTGCTTTAACAAGATAGGATATTATATTACATAATCTAAGCCTCTAATTACTAGCTTCCTGATGACGGCAGTCACATAAATAACCCTAACAAAATAAAAAGTAAAGTGTTATAGAGACGACAATTCGAGAAGGGGAATATTGCTGATTTGAGCATTTTTTGCTCCAAAAATTTGAGAAATGGAATGGATATCAGGTCTTCACGTTTTAGGCATTTCTTGAGTAAGTGTTATTACCAATCTATCCTTTCCTTTTGTACAATCTACTCATTGCTTCTTCTTCTCCGACCACAACCACCGTATTTCTCCGATGACAATTTTGATTTTCCGGCCACAACAATTATTGCTTTTTGAAGAAGAAAACTAAACCCTAGGATAATATTTAGTAAACCCAAGGGCTTCTATCATAAACTCTTATCAAATCAAATTTCCAATTCATATTTAAATCTAAACCAAATTAAAAAAATTACATGTTTGCAATTGACAAATCTTGAAGAAAATCAAGCGAGACGATTGAAGCTCTTCACGGCGAGACGATTGAAGCTTTGACGGCGATCGTCACCATAATCGATTCGGAGCTCACCATCGTCATCGTTACCGGATCTCATCGGAGATCTAATCAGCGTCACCACAATCTCGTTCACTGGATCTCATCATCGTCATCACCGGATCGGTATCTTATACGTGCCCAGATCAATCTGAATTTCACTCCTCAAAATTCTGAATCGAAATCGTAGATCCGAGGTCGTAGTGAAAATATCTTTCCAAATTAGATAGAAGCTCAAAATTTCGTTTGATTTTGTGTAGCTAAAAGGAAATTTGGCTTGGGAGAGAGAGAGAGATAACAGAGGCGAGAAGAGAGAAAGAGAGATAACAGAGGTTGAGGATGTGAGAAGGGGAGGGTAAAAATGTCTTTTCCCTTATAGTAGAAATTCCTAAATACGTAAGACCTTGCAATCAGTCCTAAATTGATAATTTTCCTGGGGAAAAAGCTCATTCCCGTAATTAATTCATTCGAGAAGCCTTTGATTTATGTTTTTCTTCAAAGTGAAGTTGAACGTTGTACACCTTTAGCCAAAAAAGAAAAAGAAAAGGTATTACTGTCCATGCATGCATAGTGACAAACTAACAACGGGTTAAATACTTATATGATAACGTATACAATATACAATTTTTTAGTCATTTTTGTATTTGATTTTATTTCGATTCCATATAATTTCGTTATTAATGAAATTGATAGAAATCATGATGCTCATGCTCTACATGATTTGTCTCATGATTCATTAAAAAAAAAAAAAAAAATTAATGTTAGTTATGTCCAGCTTTTCTCGGAGGGTTATTCTATACTCCATCTGTTCCTAATAGTTTGATGTTTTGAAGTTTTCACACATATTAAAAACTCAATCATTGTTTAATTATTTTAACATTGGTTTTAGTTTTAAATATTTTTAATAATTATCAACCAAAAGTAGTCTAAAAAAATTAATGATTTATAATCATTATATCTTGAAATTTACAATTTACTATATTATAAGTTAATAAAAATAAAGAAAAATGCTAGAAAATCAATCTTTGTGAAACAACCAATAAAATGTAGAACAACAATCTTTTAAGAACAGAGGGAAGATTTTTTTTTATAATATATTATTATTTACCAGTTGGTGTACTATGCTTCAAAAGTGTTTTAGCTATGCAAACATATATATATATATGTAAAATTTCAATACGAGCAAGAACTTTGTAGTTGTAATATTATATGCTTTAGTATCGTATGGTAATTGTAAATGAATCAATATACTGATTTGCTATATTATGCAAATGCATAAGTAATTAAACTTCTAATTTTGATTGTTGTTTTGTAGAAATATCAAAAATCTTAGATGGTAAATATTTGGTTATCGATCAAACGTTAACTGTAATGATAAATTCACTTCGGTTTTCAAATTCATTGCCAACCTACCCGATAATTTTGAAACCATTTATCAAAAAAAATAATACCACGGATTGGACTAAATCAAGAGATGGCCAAAAAGACCACACGCATTCCGGTTACGGGTTACCCATACTCACAAATTAGTATGGCAACCTTTGAAGTATTCAAAACCATACAAATCCGGTCAACCCCGAAAAAATCAGGTATGCATTCTTGACAACTAGACCATGCCAATGGAGACCAAACCAATACCTTACTTGACTCGACCTTGGATCCTCCAATCTTCTCGCGCATGATACGCAAAGCCGCTTAAGGAAAGTTGCATTTTTCTTTAGTTGGGCGTATCCCAAGGCTTTGTATAGAAACCAAAAGATCATCTTCTTCATTTAGAGGCTCCAAAATATGTCCCTAACTGCCCCTTATACAATTCATCCACCTAAGACCAAACTTATCTTATTTGGAACTGAGAGCACTCAAATATTAATGACTCTATACTCTATAACAAATTATCTTTTTTACAACCGAAAAATACATTAAAAATTATACTTTATATTCTCTAAGATTATTCAATTATCTTACTACAAGCATTTTAAGTTTTTAACTATCCTTAAAAGAGTTTTCATAAATATAGGGTTGACTGATTTTTTAGCCCTAAACTATTTGCAAACTCAACTTTCTCCCCTATATTTTCGCTCTTAAAAACCACCAACAACTAACATTTTTCTCAATAAACCAACATATACTTTCGGATTCATCTTGAAAAATATGCCTCCAATTGAACCGGTCATTAAATCGGGTTTAACCACAAATCCGCGTTTATTGTACCGCGATAAGGATTGCCCATTTAATTATCCAAGACCCGCTAAGAAAAGATGTCATTTCACTCTTCTCTCAATTTCTTAAAACGAAACCAAAACGACGTCGTATACATAGTTGACAAACTTAGGTTAATCTTGAATCGAGAATCGTCATTGTTTAATTTCAAAATTAGGGTTCTTCAGAGAAAAGGGGAAAGGGAATTTTTGCGATTTCTGGGTTTAGAGTTTGAAATTATGTCTTTCTGGGTTGGGGATACATCGGATTAGACGCCGTGGAAAGAATTAGTTTATCAGAGCGGTCATGATGATCCTGAATTCGAGGATCCGGAGAGTGAGAGTGATGTGGTCGACAGTGGAAGTGAAAGCAGAGATGAGGGAGATGGCGAGAACGATAGTGAAGGAGGAGACGACTCCGACGGTGATAGTGATGGAGGAGGAGACAACTCCAAATCGATTTTATATACAAGAATAAATAACAAAGACGTCATTTTCGCTTAGTTTTTGAGAAGTAAAACCAATTGTAAAACGACGTCGTTGCTTAACGGGTCCTGAATAATTACATGGGCAATCCTAATCGCGGTATAGTAAACGCGGATTTGTGGTTAAACCCGGTTTAATGACCGGTTCAATTGGAGGCATATTTTTTAAGATCAATCCGAAAGTATATGTTGGTTTATTGAGAAAAATGTAGTTATTGTTTGTTTTTTAAGAGCGAAAAAGTATAGGGGCCGGAGAACGTTGAGTTTGCAAATAGTTTAGGGTTGAAAAATCAGCCAACCCAATATAATATACAAAAGTGGAAACATAAAGGTATGTTGTGTCTCAAAAACATGAAATGCAAAGAAAATTAAGAAATTTCAAAAATCATTAGTTAACATCACATATAATATTTATATTAGTTTAGAAAATTGTTTAAAACATTAAAACCTTCAAGTCTTTCTTTGGTATTATCATGATTCAGTATCTATAGTAGTTCAAATGTTGTAAAACCTTAAAACTTAACATATTCATAATTTTCTATTGGTAAATATCTAAATAAAATCACGAGGGTTGCAGCGTAGTCGCAAAATAGTACTATAAGAGTAATCTTCTATTTTATGACACAAACCACATGAATGTTAAAGTATAAGAGTAAAAAAAATGTACATATGATTCTACAATCACTCAATGTTAGAATTCTAAATGAGATCTCAGTTTAATGAGTAAAAACTTGATATGGCTAAAACACTTGAAGTCACAAATACGTTCAAATTTGGGACTACATTGTGACTAAATATTCCGCCTAAAAAATTGTCTCTAATTCGTCTCAATTTACGATTATTTTGTAACCACAACAATACAATCAACTAATAGTCTGATAACAGTCTCGAATATGAGACTATTTGCTGACTACATGTTTTAGTCATAAATTTGTGATTGGTATGTTACTATTCTTTGTGTAGTCGTTTATTAGTCGCAAAATAATTACAAATATTTGGGACCAAAAAAAAGTCAAAACATGTAGTCCTAAAATGTGGTTTTCTTGTAAATGGTAAACTGTACGGTACAGTTTAGTAATGTCAAACGTACTGTTGATGCGAGTCTTGAGGCGTTGAAGCTTGTAGTTGTAGCATGTAAGAGCATGTAT